GTTATTGACTCTAAGCTGGTGAGGCTTCAATCAGACCACAGAGACAGGCTCTTTCCCCTTCCCGAGTCCCCTCAGGGTCCTCTGTCTTTTTATCTTGTCTTCACGGTGTGCTCTGTGATACAGGAGGTCCACAGAAGGAGATGCCTCAAAGAAGGGGTATGGAGACAATGAATGTAAAAAGAGTAAGAAAAGAATTGTGTTGAAAACAGACTGTGTGAGGAGGGTGTTTATTAATTCTGGGAATTACAGAGCCTGATGGTAGATGATGTGAGGGGACTCTTATAGGGCCACATGAAGAAGACAGGATGCACGTAAAGGATCCCAGAAACAAGCAATGCAGGAAAAGAGATGGCTCAATGCCTTTAGGAATATACAAGTCTGATGAGGAGTGTGTGTGTGTGTGTGTGTGTGTGTGTGTGTGTGTGTGTTTGGGGTGGGCATTGCTCTCACAGAGCCCAGGAGTGCTGGTGCTCATCTCAACGATGCCATTTCCACAATCCAGACATCAGCAGGGCAGATATGTGGGCATTGGTCTTTGCCTTGGGCTACTAGGGACATATGTTGGAGCCTCAGATTTAACACTGGCAGCACACAGGAGCACAGCAGCTGGACTGACAGCAGCAGGGCTTGCAGCAGCTGGACTGACAGCAGCAGGGCTTACAGTCCCCACAGGAGCCACAGCCTCCCTTGCAGCCCCCACAGCTGGAGCAGGAACAAGCAGGCACACAACAGCACACAGGCTTGCAGCAGCTGGAGCCACAACCCCCACAGCTGGAGCCACAGCCTCTGGAACAGCCACAGCAGCTCAGGGTTCTGGTGTTGGGTTGGGGATTGAATAAGTCAGAGTAGGTCTGATGGAGAGGGAGGTGTATAGATGTGGAGCCTCCTATTCCTGGGGCCTTGCTCTCCTTGCCCAGGTCAGGTGGGAGGCCCCCACATGGTCACTTCCTGGTTTCTGTTTGTGCCACCTTTAAAGTGAAAAATTTGAAGAATTTTAGAGAATTTTTGAATGAACACTGTAGTCATGAGTAAATGTTTTGCATTTCTCCAGCTTCTCCCATCATCCTCTGTGGGTTGAGTTGTTTCCATTTCCCAGGAACATAGAAGCAGAGCCCTAGGGCCTCTGATCATCACCTTATCCTGACCTTGTAAGTCCCTAAGCAACCTGAGTGTGCTACAGCATGTGGAGTAAGGGGCAGGAGCCCCAGTGAGGTACATGTAGGCAGGAGGAGCTAAGGGAGACAGGAGGTATTTACGCCACCCTCCACCATCCCTTGCTGGACACCTGGCAGCTCAGCCTCTGTGCTGTCTGGGTGCTGGAAGGAGGGAGCCACCGCATTAGGAAATGTCTGTTTTTCGATGGCCCTAAGATGGTGTCACTTTGGGTCAAGGGTCCTCAGACACTAGCTCCTGCTGGTCCGTGTGCAGCCAAGTGTTTCCTCCAGGGCTCAGTTTCCCCTTTGGTCAAAGGTTCAGGCCTATGAGCTGGCTTCTGCCTAGACTGGAGTATTGTGTTCACTAGGTGTACTGGCTGGTTTTGTGTGTCAACTTGACACAAGTTAGTCATCAGAGGAAGGAGCCTCAGTCGAGGAAATGCTTTGATGAGATCCAGCTGTAAGGCATTTTCTCATTTAGTGATCAATGGGGGAAGGCCCAACTCTGGACTGCTGGTTCTGCGTTCTATAAGAAGGTGGACTAAGCAAGCTATGGGAAGCAAGCCAGTAAGCAGTACCCCTCCATGGCCTCTGCATCAGCTCCTGCCTCCAGGATCCTGCCCTGTTTGAGACCCTGACCAGACTTCCTTCAGTGATGAACAGCAATGCTGAAGTGTAAGCCTATTAAACTCTTTCTCCCCAACTTTCTTTTTGGTCATGGTGTTTCATCACAGCAATAGAAATCCTAACTAAGACACTAGGCTTACAGCCTTATGCCTGAATCTAGAAGCCACAAGCTTTTGTCAAAGTGGCAAATGCTTGGTCACCTGGAGGGCCAGAATATTCTCTAATATTTATTGTGAGGACTTATATGTGATTTGGAAGGCAAAACTCATAAACTCATAAAGGTCACCAATACTGGACCTCTCTATAGTTGGTTTTTTAAAGATTTATTTTATTATTTTTAATTATTGTGGTAATTTGAATGTAATTGGCCCTCATAATCTCATAGAGAGTGGTACTATTAGGAGGTGTGGCCTTGTTGGAGTGGGTATGGCCTTGTTAGAGGAAGTGTGTCACTGTGGAGGCGGGCTTTGAGGTTTCCTATGCTCAGGATACCACCCAGTGTCTCAGCCGACTTTCTGTTGTCTGCAAGATGTATGTGTATATGTGTGTGAATTTGTGCATGAGTGTGCACATGCAAGTGTAAGTGAGGAGGCCAGAGTATTAGATCATTGGGAACTGGCGTTACAGGTTGCCATGAGGCACCCAATGAGGATGCTGGGGACCAAATGTGTGTTCTCTGCAAGGGCAGTTAGGGGTCTTAGCCTCTGACCATCTCTCCTGACCCTCTCTATAGTTTTAACTTCTCAGAAGCATCTTCACCGAGCTCAGCAGCTTCTCCATACAGTTCAGGTTTCCCTACCCTGTCTGGATTCCCACCGAGGTTTCTGTCCCCATGAGTTGTGAGTCTCTGACTCTTCTTGTCTGTCTAACTTGCTGGCAGCAGTTTTCCTGCCCTTGCCTCAGCCCCTGGGTTCTAAGATGAGTCTAAGAAGATGACTGGTTGTCTGGTTTTATTTTTCTTGCTGTGTGTTTGGGATGCTCACCTCCAACAATCTCATGCTGGACCATGATGCTTATCCTTTCAAGACTTCTCAAGTGCCTAGCAAACAGAGCCTCCTCTAGAGCCGGATCAATGCTTGTGACCCAGTTAAGTAAGGCCTGCTAACACAGCCACTGTCATGTTCTAAGTGTCAGCGAAAGTTCTTGGATGCAGGGTTAAGAGGACACTGGGCCAGATTAGTGAGTAAGGAATTTATGGGAAGAGTTACCAATGCCATGGTCAGACAGACAACATGGTGGGGGCTCTGAAGAAAAGAATCTGGGCTCGTGAGGCAGGAAGAGATCTCTCTCCTTATAGCTCTCTGGGGAATTTTCACAGCATAGGCCTGCAGTCAAGCTCTCTGATTCACAGATAGGAAGAAGGGAAGGGGATGGGGAGCAGGATGTATGGCCACTGAAGCCCCTCTTGGATGTAAACTCACTTCCCTAGCGAGAAATCCTGGCATCTGTGAGACTGTTAGTTAAGTCAAAAACTGCACCTTAGTTGGGGATTGTGAATATCTGCAAGCTGCTGTGGGTACTTCGGCTGCAGTAGCTTAGTCTGGAGCCTAACAGCCAGTACCTTCTTTATGCTCGGTTAACGTTATTTACAACATTATCTTGAAATAAAAGTGAAAACATAAATGGCCTCAACACACATTTTGAAACATTCTTTACCACTGAAAATAATTTTCATGTGCATGGGTGTTTTGACTGCATGTGTATCTGCATCACATGTATGCCTGTTGCCTATGGAGGCCAAAAGGGTGTTTGATCTCCTGGGATTGAAGTTGCAGATGATTGAGAGCTGCCTAATGTGGGTGCTGGGTCTTCTGCAGCAGAAGTGCACACTCTTACCCTCTGGACCATCTCTCTAGCCCCACCATGTGAATTCATACATGATGTGTATTTTCCGCTCTCTTTGGTAAACTCCCAAGAGTCAAATCACTGGGTCATGCAGTTATGTTCGGAATTTAACATTTGGAAAGAGCCAGACTGTCCTTTAAAGTGGCTGCATGGCTTTTCATTCTCACCAGCCATGCACAGGGCTCTGACTTCTCCACAGCAACGCTTGACATCTTTTTGTTTTGCTAGCTGTCATCTGAGGAGGTGAGAACTAGCCAGCCTGTCACTGTGGTTTTGGTTTACATTGCCCTAATGACTGATAGTTCTGAGTATCTGTATGAGTTACTTGGCTGTTACTGTGATAACACGTGGCCAAGGCAACTTCTAGAAGGAAGGGTTTATTTCAGCTCACAGTTCTAGAGGGATGAGAGTATCATGATGGAGAGGCATGGCAGCAAGCAGCAGGCTGGAACAGGAAGCTGAGAGCTTACATCTTGAGACACAAATGGTAATTGGCTGAGGCCTTAAAACTTCAAAGCTCACTCCCCCAATGGCATACTTCCTCCATCAAGGTCACATATCCTAAGCCTCCCCAAAACAGTGCCACAACCGGGGACTAAACATTCAAACATCTGAGCCCATGGGGGACCTCGGCCTTCAAACTGTTACAGAACCTCCCCAAATCTCATTCTCCAAATGCCTTCCGATGTGACACAATTTCATTTTTGCTTCCCTGAGCCTCTCAGCAAAGCAGGTGATTTCAGTCCCACATCTTCGTTTCCTGGGTCTAACCCTCACTCTGATGCATAATATGGGCACACAAACCACTTAGATTCCCTTCTCAACATGGTCTGATGCAAAGAACTTCTTCCACTGATAGACTTACCTATTGTGGGGAAAATCAGCCACCTCTGAATCCTGTTCTGATGCCCTTCACACTTTAGGACCTGTGACTCACCCATACATCCATTCACTCCTCATACATCACACATTAATATAACACATTTTATGAATGACAGCTTGGCAATCTATTAGGGAAGGGGGTCTGGGGAAGATGATCATTTCAACAATGAGACAGAACACTCTGAGACTGAGGCTGGTGGGGGAGAGGATTTATTTGAAGCTCTTTGATACATTTTAGATCTTCACAGAATCATTTTGGATGCTGGTAAAGCCTGCCTAGACATATTAGGGAATGTGGGAAAGAGAGGTTAAAGAATCTGGGGTACTAAGTTACACTTGAACCTGTAAAGGAAGCATAATGTCAGTGACTTGTTCCTTCCCATCAAGGGCTGGAGAAGGAAGCCTTGAGCATGAGGGCTATAGCCACCCAGCTTCCCAAGAGGGTAGGTTTCAAGGGGTGAAGGAATAGGCACAGCTACTTCTTGGAAAGTCTCAGATCTTGCACTGGCAGCACACAGGGCCACAGCAGCAGGGCTTGCAGCAGCTGGACTGGCAGCAGCAGGGCTTGCAGCAGCTGGATTGGCAGCAACAGGGTTTGCAGCAGCTGGATTGGCAGCAGCAGGGTTTGCAGCAGCTGGACTGGCAGCAGCAGGGCTTGCAACAGCTGGACTGGCAGCAGCAGGGCTTGCAGCAGCTGCACTCACAGCAGCAGGGCTTGCAGCAGCTGGACTGGCAGCAGCAGGGCTTACAGCAGCTGGACTGGCAACAACCACAGGAGCCACAGCCCCCACAGGAGCCACAGCCCCCCTTGCAGCCCCCACAGGAACCACAGCCCCCCTTGCAGCCCCCACAGGAACCACAGCCCCCCTTGCAGCCCCCACAGGAACCACAGCCTCCCTTGCAGCCCCCACAGGAGCCACAGCCCCCACAGGA